GCCTTCTCCCCCTCCCCCTCCTCCTCCTCCTCCTCCTCCTCCTCCTCCTCCTCCTCCTCCTCCTCCTCCTCCTCCTCCTCCTCCTCCTCCCTCCTCCTCTTGTGCCGCAGGGGTGCCCCTGCTCTCTGCGCCTTCGGACGTGCCCGTCGGTTTGCGCGAGGCGTTCCAGCCTCAGGATGCCCTCCTGCAGCCGCGCCTCGCCGAGGGCCTTCCACGGGTGTCCGGGTCGTCCCGATCGGCCGCCGGAGGCGCGAGCACCATGGTCCGAAAGCCATGGCCCCTTCGCGTCGTGAACCAACCCGTGTCAGTGAGGGGTGCCGCCGAGTTTTAGAAATGTGGCAAATCCCTTATGTTTTTGGACCCTGACCCCACCGATCTGCGTGAGAGGTGCCGCCGAGTTTTAGATGGCAAATCCCTTATGTTTTTGGGACCCTGACCCTGCCGATCTGCGTGAGAGGTGCCGCCGAGTTTTAGAAATGTGGCAACTCCCCTATGTTTTGGGACCCTGACCCCGCCGATCTGCGTGAGAGGTGCCGCCGAGTTTTAGCAATGTGGCAAATCCCTTATGTTTTGAGGACCCTGACCCTGCCGATCTGCGTGAGAGGTGCCGCCGAGTTTTAGAAATGTGGCAAATCCCTTATGTTGTGGGACCCTGACCCTGCCGATCTGCGTGAGGGGTGTCGCCGAGTTTCAGACATGTGGCAAATCCGCCGTGTTTTTGGACCCTGACACCGCCGATCTGCGTGAAGTGGGCCACGGAATTTCAGAAATGTAGCAAATCCCATGTGTTGTTGCACCCTGACCCCACCGATCTGCGTGAGGGGTGTCGCCGAATTTCAGACATGTGGCAAATCCGCTGTGTTTTTGGACCCTGACCCCGCCGATCTGCGTGAGTGGTGCCGCCGAATTGAAGAAATGTGGCAGATCCCATGTGTTTTTGGACCCTGACCCCGCCGATCTGTGTGAGGGGTGCCGCCGAATTGAAGAAATGTGGCAGATCCCATGTGTTTTTGCACCCTGACCCCGCCGATCTGCGCAAGGTGTGTAAATTTTTACCCACCCCAGCAATTCAGACAACACGCTCAGGGCGTGGTAAAAATGCCCGTTTGGGGCCTCCCCCTTCGCGCGGTTCATCAACAAGGAACAGTATATAGGCAGCAAGAAGCAGAACTGTAACAAGGAACAGTAAGGAGCAAGAAGCAGACCTGCAACAGTGGAAACTGGAAGCTGCAACTGGCACAGGAAACTGCGAACCTTAGCACTGCAGCCTGGTGGCCCCACAAGGGGGCCGGCGGATTCAAACAAGATTCGCATATGACAAGAAAAAACAAAAACAAAAAAAAACGTCCCCAGAGTATGTTTTGACTCGTTTTGAATATCCCCCCTGTAGAGGGACGCGCCCGACCGAACTGCAGGGCATTCCAGAATGCGGCCCCGCCTTCGGCGAAGAATCAAAACACTTGCCAGCGGGGCCGCTGGCACGAGGCTGGCGGAATGCGGCGGATGCCAGTCGGGTATGGCCAGGACCCCAGGGAAGGGGACCCCGTTTGTGGTAGGGCCGCAGAGCCCCCCCAAATCGGCCAGAATCGCTAAACCAGGTCTGTCGTAGCTGATGTTGTTTCGGGTGACGGCAGTTCCGGTCAGTGGAGCGGGGCGGGGGGGGGGCGTCCCCTAGTACACATCATTAAACCGGGTCTCACTAAACCCAGATCTGCCAACGCCCCCCGGGCCAGAGTGGGACGTCAACTTTTGGGGGTTCAGGGTCTCAGGGCGTCTAGGCCCAGGAGAAGAAGGTCGGCTGCGAGCGAGAGGGGAGAGATGAGAAGGAGAAGGCCCTCTCCGAAGGCGGCGGGGCTTCTCCCAAGCCCCCGCGCCTCCTGAGAGGTCCTCTCTGTCTTCGGGGAAGGCTCAGAACCTCTCAGAAGGCCGGGGGGTTCCGAGCTTTCCGAGCTTAGTTGCCCCGATATGCCCGTTTTGAAACGTAACACGTGCCTTGTTCAAAACGTCCATGTTGACGCGCTGCGCGTTGGTGTTGGCTCCACGTGCTGGCCCACGTTTTGGGCAGCGTATCGCGTTAGACCTACGTATATGCAATGTGCGTGTTGAGCTCCGTGTCAACACGCTGCGTGTTGCGTGTTGCGTATCGGGGCAGCTGTGCTCAGAGAGCACCTCAGAAGGCCCGGGGGCCTCAGAGCCTTCTGAGAAGGCCCGCCCCCTCGGGCTCTGCTTTATTGGACGACGACGACTTTTTGGATTGCATTGCTGAGCATTGCTCGTCAAGGTCTTATCGACGCTGCTTTGCCATCGCCTTCGCCTTGACTGGGCGGAGGCCTCTCCTGCTATTGAAGTCCGCAGCAGTTGCAGAGCTCCCTGGCCAGATACCTTTAGCAATCTGCTCCAGGTTGTACCTGCCGTCCTTGGTGGTAGGACGGCACTCCTTGGCAAGGTTCCTGAGGGCTCCGCCCTCACAAGCACACATATATCCACAGTTGCTGCAATAAAAAATGGGGATGTCTTCATGGGCCACAACATTGTGCGACGGATGAGGAGATCGGCCCCCGATTTGTAGCCTCTGGTGGGCCTCAGGGACCCTTCCCGCGGGGTGGGCTGCACCATCAGGGACGCCAACTGGGTGACAGGGGGTCAAAAGCCATTTGAGAACACGGGCCCTGCCACCCACACGACCGAGACAAACCGAACACGTGGCTTTGACCCCCTGTCGTCCCTGCTGAATTATAGTCGGGGTATGTGCACTGGTCGCCACAGCTTTCTGCAAGACGCTGGGGCGGGGTGCTCGCTGCTGCTCAGCCAGGGTCGGGAGTCTCTCAACCTGGGCCCTAGCTTCGTTATCGGCCTGCATTACTTCTTCAAGCACAGTGCACAAACGCCTACGAACTCTGGCGGCTTTAGCTTCAACATCTTTAACATTCTGGACCTGGTCGGGGTGAAGCTGAAACTTCATAGCCGCGTCATCAGCCTGAATATCTACTAAGCTGTTGGCCTGGATCCACAGCTCTGGAAAATTCATTTCAGCTCGCCTGGCTTGGGCCACATGGCTTTCAACCTTATGGCAGAAAACGTGGCGCCCCCCTCGGGCCACCCGAAATCTCTTCCAAAGGTCCCTATTCGTTCTGGGTTTGCTGGCATCGGGCCGACACACGCCACGGACCACATAAGCCGAGTCAGTTATAAAGTGAAGCTCGCCGTCAGGCGGTAAATTAAACTCAAGGGGGAGGTCCTCCAGCCAGCATATAAGAGCCATCAATTCGGCACGGTTGCTAGACTGCTTCGGCCCTGGGAGGTTCCCCGCTTGGCCCTTAATGGCCCCAATATGGTTCCAAGTAGGGTCTTTACACCAAGCAGCAAGATGGGTAAATGCCCATCCACATCTACGGAGGCGAGGGTCTTTGGTGTGGGCTCCTCCAGAGCCGTCCCCCGCCCCCCAGAACTGGGTCCCTGGCTCGAGGTTGGCAATGGCCTCAGGTTGGGTTTGCCACGTCCACACGTGGGCCTCACTGAGGGGGGGATCGACATCGGTCCACGACGGCGGGATGAGACCTCGAAGCCAGAAACAAGGAAACTGCTGATACCCATCGGCGGCCTCTTGCTCGAGGTCAGCCGTCTCGCGGCAGACGGCCAGATTACCGTTGGCACTGCACTGCCATGATCGATGAAAAGGAGTCTCTGGCTGATTGAGATTACACCGCACGCAGTA